GTTTTCGTGACGGATCAGTGTGGACGGTAAGCCTAACCGTAGACATAAAGCTGTGTTTTCAAATTTCTCCGGCGTAGTGTGGTAGGTAGTTACAGGTAACAGAAATCTCGAGGTCTCGTGAGCGGAAATTGTCTTGTCTCCCGGCTGTGCGCACGAGAACCTATGAGGAACTTTTTTTTCTCGGAAGGAAAGGTATGATTATGCTCCATCCAAATAGTCAGAATATGCTGATTTGGGTAACTTCACTTACTTTTTAACTCGAGTTCTCACGTCCAATAATTATTTGTTTTTATTAATTTTGTGACAGTATACTTTGTTTTGGAATTGTACCTTATCGGCTCCCTGCTTTTGAAAGGAGAAACTTCGTAAATTAACGGCGGTCGTATCTCTGCGCGGCAGTTCCTGGTTGACCAAGCAGGAAGGACGCCTGTTATTCACTAACTGACGCTCTAGAAAAGTAGGTTGTGTTTTAAACGTTAATAAAAGTTTTTAATTTTTATTTTCATAGCAAGGACGTGACCAAACCGCGAAACAAGACCAAGGAATTTCTGTTCAATTTAGTCTTCTTTCTCATTCTTCCATTCTTGCTACTGTTAAAACTCGGCAAAAAGATTGCACAATGCTGTAAAAAGTACCATGACAGCAAAGAGGAAAAAAAGACACAAGACAAGAGCCAGGAAGATGACGACAAAAAAGGCCCAGAAGTGGAGATCTTCAAGGATGGGGACATTTTAAAAGATGGCCGACTGCGCGCTGATAGCGACCTCAGCTCTGAACATCCGGATGTCAAGCGAGGTAGCAAAGAAATCATGCCAGGAATTAAACGAAGACACAGTGGGACGAGTGGCAAGGAAGATAATACTGCGAGCAGCGGGACCCCACACGGGAGCAAACAGAGCATGGCCGCACCAGGAAGCAGACGCAGCAGTGAAGAAACAGCAGGGGAGCCCTCTACTAGCAGCAGGGGCACCGGCGGCCAAGATAAGGTGCAAGTCACAACAAGTTCACACAGCTACACAAACATCACCGTGGATCAGAGCACCGAACCTTCACAGGAAGGAAATGTTTTCGTAAGTATATTTTTGTAACAATTTTTAAAAAACACAGGAACTGAAACAAGTGCAAAGTAAATTCAACCTTTGTTTACATACACAGTCCCAAGCGTAAACCATTATTTCTCCTTAATGACTGACAAACATAACTCGTAAGCGTTTATTTTATCATTTTATATCTGTCACTACAAGTTATTCCACTGTTTGATGATTCAGGTTCCTGAAGATATCAGACCGTTCACTGAGTCGAACACGTTAATTTATCACAAATTTTACAGTACAGACGCTGTAGCGGATGAACTTGAGGTAAACGTTTTTTAACCAACTGAGTAATTTATCTGGGTCTTCTCGTAGAGCATTTCAACACATGTAAGTAGCTCACTGATGACCAAACTCCATTTCTTTTCAAGAAAGGACGGCTTTCTCTGCGAAGATAAATGGGGTTTGGAAGAGCTAGAAAAGAGTGCGCCGAAAAAGATCTCTTCATCCAAAAAGGAAAAGAATTCTCCATTGATAGGATCGCGAGTTTATATTAATTTTCAAACTTTACAATTGATAGCTCTTGGCATGATAATGTTCACAAACATGAGAGGTCCTACACGAGGCCCACCGCCACAAGGCGGACTCCAGATAGGTGTCTTGCTCATATTTTCTTGTCTCGCTCCTGATGGGTGTCTTACCCAGACTTCTCGCGCAATACTTTGCTCTCACAGCGCTTTCGTCGACTCTGGAGTATAAATGGATATCGGTGAACTGGTTTGGCAAACTGGCAAATCGCTGTGCGCTACATATTTAGAACCGGGAAGAGAGTAACCTGCTTGCCTCTCCACGCTACAGAAACCGTAGTTAATCACCGGGGCTTATGAACAATCTGGCCTCTCCAAGTCATCCCCAGAACAAAACACACATAAGCTTGCTACTGTGCCGAGCGAGGTTTGAAATACGACGTTTAGCTGTTTTACGGCTTCTTGTGAACCAGCTGGCAACCGAACTGCTCAATCGTGTTCTAAGATCCTTCTTCTCTCAACAGAACCATGGTGAACAGTTTTGCTTGGCTGGTAAAATAACCT